TCTTGTCCTAAAGCCACCAAGAACTGATTTACACAGAGATACTCCAAAGTACCTGTTTAATTTACATCGACCATTACCAAATAATTCCATATATAACAACTGTTATTCTGGAACAAATGCAGTGGTATTATTTTAATGTAGCATTGCCACTTTAAATTCACACTTAACTTTATAGTGGAATAACTAATATTTAGCCAAATCATATCCTTGGAACCATGCAAAAATAAGACTTTGACCCAACCTGTTTTACCTGTAATACCATGCAGCTGGGAAGTTTTTGTTTTTTCTTTTTTTTTTTTTCTTGGAGTGTGTTTAGCCACATGCTTGCTTGCTTTTTTGCTCATCTTTTTCCCAAAGGTTGCCAATTTCTTTTTTCAGGCTTTGGCTGAAAAAAAAAAAAAAGTGCTGTGAGAAGCTTTTTGTTAGAGAACTTCACTGGACTTTGAATAAGTCTGTATGGGTTCTCAACTCTTATAAAAAACATATGGTGGAAAAGATAAACTTGAAAGATGAACATACTTGTTGAAGTGATACATTGCTAGGGAGATGTTCACTCAAATGGCAGTTATAGCACCAATAATCTCTGTGTTTTTCTATGTTGTCTGCAGAGTGTAAAAAAGAAGAAAACTGTAAGACACATATGAGCATCAACTCAATTGTAATGAGCCAATTAGATTTTCTTAGGACATTATAGCCCCCTTTCTTTCCAAATGTACTTCTGTATTTCCATGATGCGTACACAAACCTTCACTCCCCTTTAAGCTTGAGGCACCCAGCAGAAACACCCTATTTCTCTGGTGATGCATTTTATAACTTACTGATACAACTTGTTCACCTCTTGCCCTTTCTGCACCACCTTGCTGAGCACTCATTCTTTTGATCGTATATCTTTATTTAGACTTTAAACTATGTGAGGAAATGCAGTGTGCTGCTTTTATCAATACACTCCAGCTGTGTGTAACAGCAACATTTGGTCTATTGTCTTTTACTGGCTGCAAGGAACTATACTCAGTTTTGAATAACTTACTTGCTTATGAATAACATGCTTCAGTCAAAAAAGGAGATGTGTATAGGCAATTTTTCACAGCACATTTCATTTTTTCTTTCATTCTGGCTCAGCTGTATTTCAACATGCATTTAGAGCAGTTCTGTAACCACAGGGATAGTAGATTCCTTATTCTGTCACTGGGTGCATTCAGCACTTGTTGCTTTCACAAGAGACAAATAAAGGAGGAGGTAAAGAATGAATCCCCACGTTCTATGAATTTTTGACATATTCATATTTATTTGGTAGTTTCTTGATGGTCTTAACCCAGCATCTTAGTTGCTGTAATAGAAGGGAGGGCAGTAAGTCATGCCCAGAGCCTGCTTTGCCTATTGCTGAGTTTTGGTACCATAATAAGTACCAGGGCCCATGTCTCACCAAACCCTCTGGGAGCACTGAAGTGTTTTGTGTAAGAACTACTCTGTTATTCTGTGTTCCTTTTTTTTTTTTTTTTTTTTTTTTGCCCTCCACAGCTTGACAGGATTTAGACATCTAGTTCTCCCTGCTTTTAATGCATGCTTAATGCCCTTAAAGCTCCACAAATTAGGGGATACACTCCTTCAAGATTTCCTTTAATCATAACTATTTTTTCTCCTCTCAGAAAGGGTTATTAGAGGTATTTAGGCTGCTAACCTTATACAAGTGAGGAGGAACTCTGACCTCATCTACTGTGCAGCAGTGACCATGTATCATTGGCCTCTGACTTGATTACAAAATGATAAAATCACATTGTGAAACCACTTTTCATTTCCTAATAGTGTCTCTGAAACCAGCTTAAATTCAGAAAGGATTGGTACTGCATTTTCTTAGTTACAGTTATAATGCACAGGATACAGAGTATTGATGCTACTGTAATTTCCTGACACTAATGCTGGATTTCTCATTGCCAACCAGTATTTAGAATGACCAATGACTGATTAGTGACTCTGAATAAAAGATGGGTGGACTTGCTACCTTCTTCTATATATGTATGTTCTCCCAGAGCGATGTACGGCACTTTAGAATAAACACTGTGCATCAAACTGTTTGAGACCCAGGTCCAAATCAACAAGATATTCTTCATGTGGTCAAATCTGAGAGTAAAAAATCTAGAACTGCACAATACTAACTTACCATTTACTAAACTTGCATTGACTTTATTGTAATTAATTATATTGAACAGCTCTCTGTCAGCTGATGAGTGGATCCTACAGTATGAAGGATGTCGCTATACTTTATGTCTTTTCTATATAACAGCTGCAACATTTTTTTTGCAGTAATACTAAGATTAACCAAATCTGTTTGCTTGTGGAAAGAGATCCATGCATTGTAGTTGCTGCTTAGTAGCACTTGAAGAAAGTTGGCCCAGTCCCTAGTCTGGGACATTTAGTCCAGGATAACAGGAATGAGTTCTGCCCAAATACACACCATGATGGGTCTTCATTGAGCTATTTGTTTGACAAATGTAATGACTCATGATCATCACTGATATTCTGACTTATCCATGTGATACAAGGCTGCTTTGGCACCCAACTTATTTTCCTGTCTTGCTGCTCATTTCTCACAGAGGGCTGCAGGAAGGCTGAAGCACAGAGATTAACCATTTAGGCACCATTCTGACCATAGATGCCAAGCAGAAGTGGTGTGAAAGAAGCCAGCAGATACTTGAGCCTCATCCTGCCTGGTAGTGCCCCAATGCCTCCCCACATGGCATCACACAGGCTGGTCCTGCCATGGAACGGCCCCAACACAGCACTTATGCACAGGAACTGCTTCAGCTCAGGTAGATGAGGGCAAACATAAAGCAGTGTCTTGTCCTGGGTGCACAACAGCCTGCAGTTTGATTTCAGCCTCTTAGTTTCCCCTGAAGGGCTTGTATTAGCAGGGTGCTGGCAGAAGCACCCAGACCTGATGCACTGAGTCCTAACACAGGAGGGGAGGTCACCATCACAAAATATTGTTTAGGGGAATGCTACATGCAAAGGGCATCCTCTGGAAAGGAGAGCTCCTTTGACACAGACCCACAGTGACCTTCCCTCCTCCCATAGCTCTGGGGACAGGCATGTGTTAGATGTACACCACTGTCACACTGCCCCTGCTGGGGCCTCACGCTCTAAGGAAATTGAGATACTGATGGGATTTTTACATTTCTTAAATCCAGGCACTTGAAAGTATGTTTATTTTATACAAAACATGCAGAGAAAACAACTTGAAAGTGATAAATCCAGTGCTTGCTTTGGTCTTGCTGGCTGTGGAAGGCTCAGGATTCACAGCAATTTAGTAAGACTGCTACTGTGCCATTATACTGATGAGCATAAACAACAAGAAAAAAAATACACATTTTCTTTTGTTGTTAGTACCAATTCAGCACAAGCACTGATAGAACGAAATTGCTAAAGATTCAGTAATCTGTGAGTTAGGAATTAAAAATTATTTCAGTCACAATTTTCAGTCATCCAGAAAGTTCCTATACAAAAAGCAAAGACGATTTCGTGATCCTAAACCACGTTCAGAGATGAAAGTTGTACTCATCTAGTACAACTCCACAGTGTGGACACAGGTATAATGTAATAATGATTCTATCTGAAAAGTTTATTTTCTGTAAGAACACCTTCTAGGGGTTCAACATATCTTTATGCATCTGTAGATGGACCCAAGTGTAAGGCCGAATTGAGGTAGTTGTGAGATGCTGTGAGTTGGTGCACTGCACATCTGTGACAAAACTAATGGCTCAGGGAGAGAACTTCCTGCTCTGGAGGTACAGTTATACAAATGCAAGGCATATGTATGACCTCAACTCTCAACGTCTTGCCTGTTATGCAACTGGGAATTTATCCAGTATGTGTGCACATCGCATGTATGCATGCTTGGGTAAAAACACCTCACAGCTGGCATAAGTTGAAATAAAACAATTTTTTTTTATTTTTCTATTTACCAGCGATACTTCACAGTATTAAGGAAGCTTCTGGCAGAAGGACAACTTGTAAAAATCAGGAAGATTGGAAAAGGTACACCAGGAAACAACGCTCCGTTTTATGTCAGTGGTGACGTTCTCAGTGAGATCTACAACCGCAGACCTCATAACCGATTTTTGTAGCCGAGAGATATGCAATATTTCTGTGCTCAAATAAAACGTCGTTATGAAAGTTGTAACTTTTTACAGAGTTTGCAAAAGCGAATAGGAACGGCGCTGTCCCAGCCCGCAGCACCGCCGAGCAGGGAACCGCATGGCAGCGCTGCCTCCGAGCGGCCCCCGCCCCGCGCTACCGGTCCCGCAGCTGCGGGATGGGGAAAGCAGCGACGCGCGAGAACTCCTCTACTTGCCTCCGCGGCCACGAGCAGCTCCGCATCGCTACTAACCAGCGGGACTTTAACACCCGAGGTGTCACCGCGGTGCCTACATTCCGGCGGCTCCCTCCCGGCGGGGCAGGGACGGACATTTTCTCGCCCCCGCTGCCGCCCTGCTCTGCCGGGGGAACGGACGTACATCCACCAGACCGAAAGAACTCCCCCGTCAGCCCCCGAGCCGCTAGCCCGACGCAGCGCCCGCCTTCACTCCGCAGCCCCCGGCGGCAATCCGGGTCCCGCGGGGTCAGTGCCCACTCCGGCCCGCCGGCTGCAGAGCTGCGCGGGGCAGGCGGGCGACCTGACTGTGGCGCCCCCTGGCGGCAGCGGCGGCATGGGAGCGCCGGGCGGACCCAGGCGAGGAGGGGATCGCGGCGTGCTGCTGCCGCGCACCCCAGTGCATCGCGGTCCCTCCGTGCGGGAACTAAAGGATTCGCAGCCAGCCTGAGGAGCGGCCCCCCCGCCGGCTGCGCGCTGCCTCCGCCTGGCAGCGTGCGTGGTCCGTATCGATAAGGCTTGGTTAAAGCTTAACCCGGGCAGGCCGAGGGGCGAGCGCCGGCGGCGGGCAGGAAGCGTTTCGCAGCAGTACCCCGCCGGGAGCTGCGCCCGGGGCAGAACCGCCTTCGCCTCGTCCTCGGGGTCCGCTTCGCTCCCCTCCAAATGGCGGCGTGGCGCTGCACGTTTGCCGTCCGACCCGGCTTTCTCTCGCGTTCTGCTGCACCCGCCTCGCAGCGGGCCTCCCGGCGCCCAGGCAGGGTGCACCGACCGCGTGGTGCTGCTGGGGGATTGGAGGTGGGGGTCTGCGTTACACCGGAGCTGAGCGTCTGTACACTACCCGACTGCCCTGTATCGCATAGGTACGCCTGTCCTGTCTTACTCTCGATTTTATGGTCCTTCACTTCTAAGCGTTCGGAGTAGGATACAAGCTCCTGCAAACTGTTTTGGTTTTGCAGCAGTAGGGAATGCAGAAGGGAAGTTTTCCAACTCCTCTTTAACATAACCTTCTCAGATCCCACTCTTGGTCTTGCTGTGAGCTCTGAAAACAGCCATCAGCCACACAGTTCAACACACGTATGTTTAACCCTTGCACAAGCATGTTCCAGAGCCTTTGCAAAAGCCCTTGTTGAAGAGAAACTCATTTTGAACTTTTAAAGAACACAAAGGTATAGCAAACAATAGGAAAAAAGTACAAGTAGGGAATATCACACTTGTAAGTTCAAGCCTATTAAATTACTTTTTGGTTCATGATGAAACCTGGGTGATTTTGTACTAAAAAAATATTATGGGCTAAGGTCAGAGGTTTTACATCGGGGTGAATATAATCTACAGTTTCTCGAAAGGAGAAGGTGAACATCACCCCAACCTCTGCAAGCAAGGCTCTGCAGACTGTAGAGGTCAGAATCCCAGCTGTAAGGCCAGGCCCAAAAGTCTACAGGTGAGGATGCAGATTTTAGGGAGGGCATTTAAGGTAAGGCGACAAATACCGACATGGGTCCTTGTAGCTGCTATATAGGTAATCCTATCTGAACTTAACAACTGTACTAAAAAAATAAGAATAATAATAATCGAGCCTTGCAGGTTACTTCTGCTTATGCAACTTGAAAACAAAATCTATCAGTTGAGCCAGATCCTTGGCACAGCTCCAGCAGCTCAAAACAGCTCCAGAGCCAGCAGCTTAACTGCCCCAGCCATAAACGTGTTCCCATCACCAGGAACAACTCAGCAGGGCACAGACCCACTGAAACAGCCCACACTTGTCCATTTCTCAGCTCTGATGCCCAGAACAAATGGCACGGGGTGTATGTACCCATTCTGCTGTGGGTCTGCCTCAGGAGCACCCCAGAGCTAAGGGTCATGAAGTAATTCTCCAAACTGCAGAATGACATAAAACATGCAACCCTTCAAACAAAAAAACAAAAACAACAACAACAACAACAACAACAACAAACAAAAACACAACTCTCTTTGATTTTAAAGCCATCTTTGGATGAGGAAGGATCAGCTCAGCAATAAGAAACTATTACTTTTCATGCCAACCAATAGGATTCAGTACTTTTACTTTTCTTTGGTCTCCAGTGAATCAGCCCAGGTACTGGTTTTTTTTGACTTCCTGTTGCTTACTTTATGCAATCTTGCTCTCAAGCTTCTGGTGAGAAAATGATGAAGTTTGACGCAGTAATAGAAAAGTCAACATTTTACAATGCTGAAAACTATTTATAGCAACATCAACAGGTTGTAATCCATTGACAGTCATACGTTTGATTTATTAGCTTGGGCTAAATGTGGGGTGCCCTGGGACACATGCATCTTTGGACAGCAATAGCTCTGGAAGCAGCAGCTATCCAAGGCAATGGGTTGAATATGAAGACCTGAGCAAGAAGTAACCCTATGTGATTTTCCCAGATAGATGAGAATGCATTAAGAGCAAAGGAACTACCTCCTTCGGGAAAAAAAGCCCAAACAAGACAGAACAAAAACCCAACCTTCTGTCTAGCAGTTGCCTGGAGCAAAGGCACAGAATTTTTTTTGTGTGTGTTCCTGTTGCCTAGAGTCACGTGGAACCTTTGCCCTTTTAGAATTAGCTACAAATCTTGGGCCTGACTGGATATTGCACTTTGTGAGAAACAACAAGAAAGAAAAGAGGGAAATAGTCATTGAATAGATCCGAGAGCCAAGCACAGGATTTAAGAAAAATGAATTGCTTACTGCCTACTTACGTGGACTACAGAGAAAGGGATGGAGTTGGTATTATCCCTTTGTCCTTCCAATAGATGTGCTAATTCAAAGACTCAAATAATTACTTCTTAAAAAAAAAAAAAAAGAAAAAACATTATTCGCAAATTTTACAACAATCAGATGTTTATTTGGAGCAACTCTCAGTGTACATCTAAGAGACAGGCAGTGCCAGTTACCAGGAAAAGGGAACACTGCGCCTCAAACTAAGCTAGCTAGCTTGCTGCTGCAATGAAGCGGCCTACAGAGTGCAGTTTATAATTACTTGAAGTGAACTAGGTAACACACCACAAAATCTAGAAATAGCATAAACTTACTGGGTTTCCTTGGGAAAATGAAATAGCAGCAAAGATTTTCCAAATGCAGGCTCTTCCATGTTTAACTGAGAAAAGAACAAACACACCTGAAAGAGATGCTGATTTTAAACGGTTTGCAGCTGCTTCACTGGTGTAAGTGATGATGATGACCCCTGTTCTTGCAGGTGCATGAAACCCTGTTTGCAAAGATTTTTGTTGGTACCATGTTTTGAATGGCAAGGCTGTAACAAAGATGAAAATATGACAGCCAAAAAATTAGAAGGCAGCAGAGATTCCTGACTGAAAGTACTCTTTTGATCATTTCAGAACTCACCTTCTGATTTGCTCTATCTCCTTATCTCTCTGTGTGAACTTTGTCTCATGGAAAGATAATAAAAACGTTGCGCAAATGGTTCAGTTGAGTCTCTCTTCTGACAGTCTGCAAGGAAAGTGAGTGGTATATAAATATTAACTATACAGGGAGAAATTCACCTTGTTTGTCAAAGCCCAACTTTAAAAACATAGAATAAAAAATATAGAATATTCTACAAGATACTCTATGCTAGATTTATAACATCTGTTAGCAATTTCCTTTACAGTTTTCTCTTCTTTTTAATATTTATTTACATCTTTGAACACATCAGTTTCTTAGAATTCCTAGTTCTGGAATAATTCAGAATTTAGATTATTACAAGAAAAAAAGAATTGCTGTATTACTTAAAGTGCATTCTTATCAGTCAGAAACACAACTGAGCACTGGACTGTCATATCCAGTTTTACAGCAGTAGCGTACATCAAAAGTTAGCTTGCTCTGATGTTATAAAAACTTTTCAAGAGAGACAGAAGTCAGAGTTCATTGCAATATTTATAGTATTTAAGAATGCTTTCAAGTATCTTGTAATGGCAGATGCCATCAAGTACTGTCATAAGTGGTTTTCTTATTCTAAACATTATGGTGCATTATGGTACGTTTCAAGCAAGGCACACATTATCATGTTGGGAAAAACAAAGATCATATCTGTATTACTTTGTGAATTCTGTTTGGATTCTGTTAATGACACATTGTATTTTGCTTTTTGTTTTGAATACAGCTCTCTTGTGTTTTTAGCCATCAATTTGGTAGTCTAAGGTATGATGGATTTAATAGCCCATGTCTAAGAAAATCCAACACAAGTATCGAAGGTACATAGAATGGTGTTACTTTGGGGTGGAAAGCAGATTTTTTTTACAATAGGACTAACCTTTGAAAGGCTTGGACAAGAAGTCCATGAAATGAGATTCCTGCTCTTGCAAAGGTTGGCCACTTTATCCTCCCACCTCTGTTATTCAGCCTGTCCCCAGGAGTGTTTTCTCCTCTCCCAGGGTGTGTTCTTGTGCCATTCTGCCTCAGCACATGGGGAGATGCTACAGGCTATCCTGCCTTGGGTTAGAGCATCAAGAGAGAACAGGAGGACTGCTAGGAGTGCTGGGAGACCAGCTGTAGGATCTAATCAAACTGTGCTGTGCAGTACCACGACTCCAGAAGGATCCCAGATGTAGAGCAAACATCTGGCATGACACGGTAAAGACATCGAAGAGTTACCAATCTTTAAGTGATAGGATCAAACGTAACACAGTGAGCCTTCCTAGAATGAGATCAAGACACAATCTAACAAAGAATTCCAAATATGACCAGACTTAAAGTTTCACTCCTGTTTCTCCAAGCTAGAAAGCTCCACTCCCTTGGGAATTATGGTGGATCAACACTATGTGCACAAGGCTCCCAGCACTCCAAGAAGCTTGTACCTTCTTTTAGACGAGACATTTCGGTATGCTTTTCGGTATGACGTTTCGGACCCACTCACTGTCTCTGGCCTTACCTTTGCTGCCAGACTTGATCCCTTCAAACGGCTGTTCTTAATCATCCAGTCATAAACATCCCTTTTAACACATAGTCACAGCTATCAACTTGTTTTTCTTCTTCCAGAGTGGCTGTGGTCACTGATTATCCAAAGTTAAACTGTAATTGGCAAGTAACAAGTGATTTCACAGCTGTTTAAAAATATCCAAGATAATAGTCAGAACTTAGGGGGCATGTAGAAGAAAATAGTTTAAATAGGTTAGAAAGTAGGTCATTCTTCTGTTATTATTATTATTTCTTCTTTTTCCTCTGCAATTTAATGTAACATGTAGGGATTTTCCTTTTGTGAGTCTTAACCTGCACTTCTCACCCTTGTCATAAAAACCAAAGAAACTGCACTGGGAACTTCTAACACGCTCTTAGTTCAAGCCTATGGTCCAAATTCCATCTGGAGCGCTGTCAGTATGAGTTCCACTGGAAAGATTTCCTTGTTTTTCTTTTTGTTTGAATGCTTTCATGTAGAACTATATATATTTTTTTAACTGGAAAACATCTATATAAACAAGCCAAGTACACTTAAAAATGTTATTTAAAATGAATAAATGAAAAGTAAGTCTCCATGTGGTGTGCCTTGATAGGCTGCTTGAGTCACTCTGCCTACGTGGAAGGTCTGAATTAACAGCACCCCGGCTCACTGTTCCCACCCCAGCTGCCCTAGCACAGTGCTCCCACAGCCTCTGAGCTCAGCAGTCTGCCCCTTTGCCTGTCAACAGCATTTCTGTAAAGAGTGCTGTTGAATAAATACGTACCTGTAGAGAGCATGAGACTACAATTCCATGTGAATCTTCTTAAAAAGTCAGTCATTATCTAAGGTATTGAGAATTTGAGGAATTCTGCATTATAAATACTCAGATGTTTACAGTACATATATGGCTGACCTGTAGACAAATCCAGCACCCAGAAGACTTCAACATATAGAGAGAAATATAAACAGGGAATGTTTAATTCTGTCTTAGTGAATTATGTACCAGGCACAGAGACTGTGGATTGTTAGGATTATATCTGAAAAGTCAAGTGTTCAAATCCCATAGCATTCTTGAATGTTCTAAGCAAAGGACGGGCTGAACAAAAGAAATGCCGGGTTCTGGAGGCAAACTAAATCTTTACATTGCTGGTAGTCTACAGTTTTTAGTTATTGTCTGTAGTTATTCCTGAATTGTATCATGCTAGGAATAGCTTCTTCAGGTGCTTCTCAAGGGCCGTGGGTGTTTGAGCAAAATTGTAAGGATTATTGAAAGAGTGGCTTCCAGGAAGTAATACTTCAGTACAGAAACATAGATTTCATTCAGAGGAAACTATTTTTTAGATGTGTCATCACAGACAAACCAGACTTTGGTTGGCATAAACTAGTTATTAATGGCTTTCTGATGTTAGGCATGGTATAGGTCTGAATGTGATTAAGTTAGCAGGAATTCTGCCACCCTTCAGTGACAGTGACGTTGAGCCCTGAATTGGAAAACAGGAACATCTTTAACAAGGGAGTAGCTGTTCTGGATAATTCAGCTAAAACATTAGAAAATTTCAGAGTAAATGGAAAGAGCTGACCTCAGCATTAGTGATTAAAAAGAACTATTGTTGTTAAAACCTAATTATTATGCAAAGAATGGGAAGCTCAAAAAATCCTTATATTGCATTTACCACTATCAGCTTTTTGAGTACCTTACTTCTAGATGGTGGCATGATTAACATCTAACTATGAAGGCAGATCTAATCCCTGGCAGTACTGCATTAGATGTTAGTAGCACTATCAGCCATAGTAGAATCCTAAACCTAGTTTTCAGCACATTAATACAGGAATAATTTGTTACTCAACGATTATTTTGAAACCTATTGATTTTTCAGCCTACACACGTTTTTACTTGTTTGTGATCTTATCTTACTCACATTTCAGAGCCACACAATTCACCGCGAAGACATAAAATGCAAAATTCTCCACCCAGCTTGGCTTCAAACAAACAAATGCAACTCCATACAAACAAAGAAAGCTGTATCTAAGCATTATTTGCCTGTGTTCTTAATATTTCAGTACTCTGTGAAAGAAATCAAGTTGGGTAACAAGCTGTTTTGACTTCATATCCAGTACACTTTCAGGTTTCCCTAGTCTGTAAGGCCAACAATCCAGTCTAAAGATGCCACAAAGCTCCAGCACACTTAAGGCAAGGCAGTGGGGCAGTGCCATGCTTTTTTTTTTTTTCAGTCTTTGTTGCCATACTTAGGAAAAATATAAAAGTTTTGCTACAGATAAAAACGAAGACAAGTCTGAGACATTACCTAAATCTTTTGTGCCTATTCTATATGACTTGGAGGAAGGAAGCTGGGGTTGTAGCTGGTTAGATTTTCATTTTCTGCTGAAACAAGCTCAGAGCTGGAAGCATTTCATTGGAAACACCCTGCTTTGATGAGCTTTTGGCAGTCAATGCTGAAGCAAGGCTCTGTGGAACAGGGCACCGCATTGATCTGGGCTCCCATCTCCAACCTGCAGGCAAATGGTTTGTGGGGACTCAGCCTCCAACTCATCCATCTCGATAGTGGCTGACATCACTTCCTCAAAGAACAACTGGTGACTTCCCCAGGAAAAGTTCAAGCCCTATGATCGTGGGCACTGCCATATTGCTATTGCTCTTGCTGTCATGTAGGAAAGGGGATCAGCTTTGTAGAGGGCTTTCCTGGGCTATTAAACTTGCAGCTTGAAAGCAAGCCTCCTCCAGACCCTGACATCTCCTCCTGAGAGTCAGCAAGCTTCAACCACTGCCCTGTCAATGACTGCACTTCCTAGGGAAGCAAAACTCTGCTCGATTCCTTGTGCAGCTTCAATTGGGAAGGACTTGTTTGCCCCTATCAGCACCAGGGAGGACAGGACCTGGCATTTCAAATAACTTTTGTTTATCCCCAGCAGGACTTGATGCTTCTTGCCCAAGTTATGCAAGGTTGTCGTACCCTATGTGTGACAGAACTACTTGGCAAGATCTACCATTGTCTTCCTTTACAGACTGGGCTACTCTTTTAGTCCCGACTGACTGGAAAGTGTTTGCCAGTTTGTATGTGCTTTATTTTACTTTCCTCTGCCCAGATCTGGAGAGTGGATGCCTATAAATATCTGCTTTAGCGGTACTTGGGGAACTACTCTTTTCTCCAGGGACTAGATTGTATTTTCAAGTCCTATCTTGCCATGGAAACAGACGGCTAATGAAGAATCTGAATTGGATTTTTCTGCATCCATACATCCATGTCTTCGTCATTCATTCAACCAGGTGACAAATCCTCACTACAAAAAAGAGGTTACAGTAAAAGTAGGACCCCAAAAGCAGAGGTCTCCCAGGTTAATAGAAATAAGCAATCTGTGAGATCTTTTCCAAATCAAAACAATATGAAAATAGTGCAGTGGTGCCTTCCAAATGTGATGAGGAAATTTTCAAGTCTTACCACAAGAAGCTTTACGATCAAATCTGAATGCATTTCAGACTTGCCTATGAATTAAAAATTGGATACTAAAACAGGGACCAGAATATACAACTAAATTCTGAATCAATCTTTGCAACTAAATTTCAGACATTATAGAATGATTTTGAAGATGTTATGCAAAGCAATGGAATGTGCATTTTAAAGTGAGCTTTTCCTTGTCCAAATTTTGCACAAATTTTTTGGAAATATACACTCCTGCAATTTTTTATTGCACCTTAACATGTTAAAGTACACAATAAAGCTGTTGGAAATTACAGGCTACGAACCTACAAAGAAACAGCATCATTAACTTTCACAGAACTACCAGCATGCTATTAGCTGCTGATAATTACCAAGGATTAATCAATGTAAGTTTTATTAATATTATATCAATAATAAATATAATAATAAACAATAAATAATTATATATTATATAAAGGCCATTGCTGAACGAAGACAAAGCTATGTTGACATTAACAATAAATGTTCAGATTTTTCAGGATGCTTTTGAAATTGTCATGAACTGCTGAACATACAAATCAATCAAAACAATCAGACAAAAAGTTGACAGTTTTGAGAAAGACCACACTGCAATGCATACAGCTCCCACAACGGATGTAAAAGATTTGCCATAGAGCATCTCTATAACTTATACTCTTGATCAGAACAAGAGACAGAGCATTCCCAAAAGATCCACGATGTGTTTAACAGCCTGCAGTGAAGACTGAAGAGAGATTTCAGAAACCTCATGTTGTCCAAGCAGAGCACGCAGTTTCTATCAGCTGCAGTAAACCTTGTACATCTTGTATACTTTAAAGATGACTTAAAGGAAGTTAATCTATAATAGTAGTTTACAACGCTGTCATTCCTGGATAATACTAATTGCTTGGTAATGCTAATATATGTCAGCTAGCTAGAGAATGTTGTGGGGACCAGAGAGAAAGCCAATAGAGAAAACAATTGTCTTATCTTTTGCTTTACTTACCTCTTTTCCCTCTTCTGTGTGAAAGAATAGTGGCAGAATGTCATTTCTTCTCCTCGTTACTCTGTAAAAATACTAATTTATGTCTGACTCTCATTGAGCACAGTTTGTACTTCTCTGATGATGCTGGCCCAGTAAAAGTGCGATGGGAGCATTGTGGCAGAAGGTGGGGGAAAATATCTGTAGGACTGTCTAAGTGAAAATGTTTGAAAGTTGAGGGCACACGTTGAGTTCACAAAAGGAAATGCTGGTTTCTGTTGCAATGTTGGTTACACAATCACGTAAGGTTTTATTTTTAAAAGCAAGTAAAAAATTACAGTGCATCAACTCCTCAACTGGTGTAAATCAGCGTGGTTTTATTGACTTTGATGGGGCTATGTCGATTTATACCAGATGAGGATTTGGCCCACTGTATGGAGATATTTTTATTTCTCTTCTCACCCTATCAGTTAAGGAAAGGGTAATAATCAGAAAGCTGGAAGCAATTACGTGTGTGTGAGGAGGGGGTAGTTTCGTAATAGCTAACTTGATATTATTTCCTGTAAAATGCATCAGGAGAATAGAGCCTGGAGCCTGCTGACCAGTTTGTTTTGTAAAGAAATATTTGTTCAAATCTGTTTATAATAATTTGTCAGCGATGGACAGGCTGAGCTCAAGCTCTTGCCTTCCACCAGCGGCAGTGGCGGCAGCACTGCAGCTTGTAGGGCAGTGAGGGGCAGCTGAGAACAGACCAGGCAAAATTTGGGTTTCATTCGCACCCGTGTAAATCCAGAGGGATCCTACGCAGATCGGTGGAAATACTCGCTATTTACAACAGCATGCCTAAAAACAAAATTTGGCAGAGATTTCAAGTAAGCATTTATAAGCTGTTTCT